AATAACAAAAGGGCAAGGAAGATGTATGGTATAATATTGAGCTAGGATGAAGGACAATACAGCGAAGCGTTACAGAAGGTAAAGGAAGTAATTGGTGCAGATGAGAGCATGGTAAATGTTGTTCGAAATGTAAGAGGTACAAGAGATGGTAAACTGATGATCACAATGGATAAGGATAAAGAGGTACTAAAAAATATCAGTGAAGCGTTAAGCAGACAGGAAGGGATCAAGGTTCGACAAATAGGGGAAGATGACTTAGCGACAGTGTATATTAGGGGGATGGTTGAGAACACGGAACCTGCAGAATCAGCAAATTACGGCCCTATTCGAATCGGATGAAAGCAGGAAGGAGTAGGAAGAAGTAGGAAGGAGTAGGAAAGAGTAGGAAATAGTAGGAATGAGTAGGAAGGAGTAGGAAGGAGTAGGAAGGAGTAAAAAGGAGTAGGAAGGAGTAGGAAGGAGTAGTAAGGAGTACGAATTAGTAGGAAGGAGTAGGTAGGAGTACGAATTAGTAGGAAGGAGTAGGTAGGAGTAGGAAGGAGTAGGAAGGAGTAAAAAGGAATAGGAAGGAGTAGTAAGGAGTACGAATTAGTAGGAAGGAGTAGGTAGGAGTAAGAATGAGTAGGGTATTGTAGGAAGGAGTAAGAAAAAGTAGGACGTGCGCAACATGCTGGGAAAGAATATTGCTCACGATAGGGACGATATATTGACTGATAAAAAAAAATAATTTCTCTATGGACCATTGGAAAACCAGATTATTTCTTAGCTGCAGGAGATAGATTTGGACTCGCAAGAAGCACTGCCCATGGAGTATTTCAAACCATTGTGGGTTCGTTGGCCAATTTGATTCCCCAGTACGTTCAGTTTCCGAATGGACAGGAAATGCTGATATCAGCAAATGTAAGATATGTTCTGTTTTTAATGTTCGAGAAATGTCTGTTGTAAAGTTGTAATCTGTTGTATCGAGTTCGTATGGGTAATTCTTTTGTTTAACGTTTCTGGTCACTATTTTATATCCTAGGCCCCAGACATCATTATCTACCTCCGCGCACCATTGTTTCCAGCACTCTCGCGCTTGGACTTGTTGATTTCTATTGGATATTCAACTTCAACTAATACATTTATTTGTTTACCGGTCAGTAAAAGACCACTTTGTGTATGACAGTTGACAGATGAAGTGTCTGGCAACTTCTTGTTTTTTGTTTTGTTGATGTTAAATTTTTTCTGCCGTCGCAGTTTAACGAGTTGTAATTTGGAAGTTCTGAATAAAGATATTTATATATCAAATAAAGTCTAACAGGTTATGGGCCCAGGCCACTAATACATAAGGAACACAGACACGGACACAGCAGTAGTAACCGTAAACAGTTTGGAATAAAATTACAATAGAGACGACAGACGCACAGACACAGTCAACAAAGGACAAAATGGCGGATTCAGTAAAGTTTACCATTGCTAAATTAAATGGAGCAAATTACAATGTTTGGGCATATCGTATGCGATTGTTTTTGTTAAAGGAACGAGTATGGAACTGCATCGAGGAAACTGCACCAACACCCATTACTGATGCATGGAAAAGCATGGATGCGAAGGCCCAAAGTTTCATATCATTATCCGTTGAAGACAGTCAAATACGTTTTATAAAGAAGGAATCATCTGCTAAATCGATGTGGAAGAGTTTGCAAAATTACTATGAAAAATCTACTCTTAGTAAAGAAGTTTCTTTGTTGAGAAAAATATGCACAGCTCAGTTACAAAGTAATGGTGACATGCATGCACATATTGAACGATTAGAAAGTCTAATGGATCAGCTCTCAGTGATAAACAGTACAATCCTTAGCGATAGATTGTGTGCTGCGCTAATGCTAAGTAGCCTTCCTGAAGATTTTGGCCCACTAATTATGTCATTGACAAATCAGCCTGATGATAAAATAACTCAAGGGTACATTAGAGACAAGTTATTGGAAGAAGCAGATCGACGAATTGCTAACGCAGTAGCTCATGAGGAAAAATTAGATATGGCAATGAAAATAACAAAGAATGGTTATTCGGTAAATAAAACGAAGCATCGTACAGACAAAATCAAAGAAGAAAATGGAATGGAATGTTTCTTCTGTAAGAAAAATGGTCATTTGAAGAGAGATTGCAGAAAATATGCAGCATAACGATAACAACAACAATAACGATACAACGATAACAAATCGGGGAAACATGACAAAGCAAAGAAATGTGATCATAATGACAGCAATAGTGACAGTGAGACTAGTTCATTGGTGGAAGAAGTACATTTATGTTTGAAAGTAAACAAAGGGACTCAAAAGAATAGTGCTTGGTATCTGGATTCCGGTGCAACATCACACATGTGTAATGATCGTAGACTAATTTATAACTATAAGGAGTCAGTTCGTGGCAAAGTTTAAGTGGCTGACGGTAGGCAATTGGATATAAAAGGAAGCGGTACCGTTAAGTTGCAGCCATGTCATTGTGAGAAGCCAATTTTATTGCAACAAGTGCTTTATGTTCCTGAACTTGACAGTAACCTGTTATCCATACGTTGTGTTACAAATAAGGGACTTGAAGTATATTTTGATGAATCAGGATGCTACGTAAGGAAAGGAAATGATACGGTTCTTACAGCTACGCTAGAAGACAAGTTATATCGCGTAAATGAGAAACAAATGATATTCAAAGTTACTCACAAACCAAGGTGTATTCATGACTGGCATCATATTTTGGGACATCGGAACATCAACGATATTAAACTTTTAGCAGAAAAGAACATGGCAAACGACATGTTTATCAATCCATGTAATCACGACAATGAATGCAACATTTGTGCTACGCAGAAGGCCACTAAATTACCTTTTCCAAAGAAAAGTTCGTCACACTCAAAACAGAAATTAGAATTAGTACATACCGATATATGTGGCCCAATCGAACCAAAGACTCCAGGTGGTAATAGATACATTCTGACGCTCAAATATATCTACTTAAGAAGAAATCAGAAACTCAGGAGAAGATCAAATGTTTTGTTAGAGAAATGGAAAATCAGTTTAATAAAACAGTCAAAGTTATACGAAGTGACCGTGGGAAAGAATATTGTAATGCTGACCTAGAAGAATTTTATAAGAAGAAGGGGATTAGGACTCAATACACAGCTGGTTATACACCTGAACAAAATGGAGTCGCTGAAAGGAGAAATCGTACTTTAATTGAAATGGTGAGGTGTCTTATCTTACAGGCGAATCTTGAAAAGAAGTTTTGGGGGGAGGCTGCTATGACCGCCACAGAATTATTGAACCGGGTACCAGGAAAGAAAATGAATGTAACTCCATACGAATTGTGGTTCGAATCTAAACCTAATTTAGCTCATCTTCAAAAGTTTGGCGCCCCCGCAGTCTCTTTGATTCCGAAAGGGAAACGTAGGAAATTAGACAGTACCGGACAACAGTGTATTTTCGTAGGGTATGAACCAGGAAGTAAAGCATATAGACTTCTGTTACCACATGAATCAAAAATTGTTGTAAGTAGACACGTTTATTTTCCAGAACAAATATTGCATCCGGATAAAAAGAAGCTATCAACAATTAATAATCTCATTGAACTTCCGTATCAGGAAGAAGAAGAAGATATAGGAGGGGAGACACAGTTACGAAGATCAGAAAGAACTACGAAGGGAAGAAGACCCATCAGGCTAATAGAGACAATTAATAAAGTTCAGTCCACAAGCGTTCGTGACCCTTTAACAGTGCAGGATGCTCTTATGTGTAACGACCATCTTCAATGAGAATTGGCAATGAGCAGAATTAGAGTCAATGGAGAGAAATAATGTATGGGAGCTGGTGGATCTTCCGAAGGGGAAACCTGTAATAGGGTGCAAATGGGTCTACAAAAGTAAAACAGATGATCACGGAATTGTCATTCGACATGTAGCCTAGTTATTCCAAGCACCACTAGTAGCCCAGGGTTATTCCCAGCGGTTTGGTGAGAACTACGATGAAATATTCGCTCCAGTCATGCACCCAGCTACATTTAGAGCTATCCCGCTGGTTGCATCACAGCGGGGGTACGAAGTACGCCATTATGATATAGAATCAGCATTTTTATACGGGTTAGTGCATCATGAGATATATATGAAACAACCACCTTATCACGCAGAAGAGGGCGACGTTAGGGTATGTAAATTGAATCGTAGTATCTATGGATTGAAACAAGGAGCATTTCAATGGTATAAACGTTGGAATGAGATTTTGTAGGATATCGGTTTTAGAAAAAGTGAGAACGATCCTTGCCTGTATGTGTACCACAGTTCACAGGGTGAAATGTTTCTTGGTGTTCATGTAGATGATATTTCCGTGGCCGCATCATCAGCGGATTTGTATACATACTTCGAACATAACACTAATAGAGAAGTAAAATTAAAGAATCTCGGAAGAATACATACTTATCTGGGGATTCAGATAGAACAGAGTAAAAATGGTGAATTTCTGTTGCATTAAGAAGGATACTTAAAAGAGAAATTAAACTTCTATAAATTAACTGATTCCAGAAGCAGCAAGTATCCATTGGATCCAGGTTATCATAAAGATGATAAGCACAATGAGAGTGAGGTCATTAACCAAAAGGAATACCGCAGCATGATTGGCTCACTACTCTACATAGCAAACAACACACGGCCGGATATTTCTGCATCTGTGGGTATTCTTTCGCAAAGAGTTTCAAATCCCAGATATAAGGATTTAACGGAAGTGAAACGGATTTTCCGTTATCTAAATACTACAAAGGATAAACGCCTTCACATAAGTAACATTCAGACTTCAGACATAATGAACATGGTAATTCATACAGACGCAGACTGGGCGAATGATCGGAAGGACCGGAAGTCAATTACCGGATTTATAATTCAACTTGAAGGTGCCCTTCTAGTTTGGTGTTCCAGGAAGCAATCAATAGTCGCTCTTTCGTCGACCGAGTCGGAATATGTGGCCATAGCTGAATCTTTAAGAGAATCCATTTGGATCGAGCGACTTTTGCAGGATCTTGGCGTTGTGATTGAACGTCCTTGGATTTGTTTTGAAGATAATCAAAGTAGCATCGCTGAAGCTTATCATGGCGGACTTAGTAAAAGACTGAAACACGTAGACGTGAAATATAACTTCGTCAAGAAATTAGTAGAAGATGAGATAGTGGAATTGAAGTATAAAGAAAGTGGTGATATGTTGGCGGATATGTTGACCAAGCCATTGACAGGAGAAACTATTAAGAGGTTCAGTGACATTGTTGGACTGTATTAATACATTTAATTTATCAATACAGTTTTTTTTTAATAACGTATTAGTTGAGGGAGGGTATTGGATATTCAACTTCAACTAATACATTTATTTTTTTACCGGTCAGTAAAAGACCACTTTGTGTATGACAGTTGACAGATGAAGTGTCTGGCAACTTCTTGTTTTTTGTTTTGTTGATGTTAATTTTTTTCTGCCGTCGCAGTTTAACGAGTTGTAATTTGGAAGTTCTGAATAAAGATATTTATATATCAAATAAAGTCTAACAATTTCGTTGCCATATTCTTTCTTTGCTTGTTTGTATTCCACTTTCAGACACTTTAATTGTTCTTTGGTCATGTTTTGTTTTCGCCTGCCACTTGTAAATTTCCTTCTAACCTCATTACACAGCTTCCTCATGTCCCTGGTCTTATCTGTCCACCAGTATGGCAGTTCCCTGCATTTTTTCTGTGGTACTTTTTTCTGTGCCATTTTTTGAACCGTCTTAAGAGCTTTTATCGTCTTAGTTGGTTCCCCGTTAACCGTGTTTTTCAGCAGTTCCAATGTAGTATTGATCGTTTCTTTATTTGTCGATATTTTACCTTGAAATAGTGGCCTCTTCGTCTGTTTGCCTTTAATGTCCGTGACTATGAAGCGGTGATGACGCATCGATTCTTCTGTTGAGACTTTCCAGGTTTTCACTTTTCTATACATGTTTGCATTCGCTAGTCTTACGTCTATATAAGAGCTCAATTTTCCCCTAACAAATGTCGGCTTTATACCATCATTTACGGCTACCTGGTCATTTTCGGCCATTCATTCCATTAGATTGAGTCCTCTTTTATCATTTGTACTTCCACCCCATAGGTAACATTTGGCGTTTAGGTCCCCAATTATCAAAATACTTTTATTCCTTTCGACTAGCGCATTCGTCATTTTATTGTCTATAATTTTTTCATACTCCCCTTGCGTTACATTTGGTGAAATGTAACAGTTATATAATAAACAGTTGTTAAACACTACTTTGACATAACCTACTTCAGCGTGATGTTCTTTTATCCCTATGTGCTTGTTTATAACTTGTATCGCAACGTATTTGTTTATATCTGATATTAAATGCTTGTCTTTTATTATTTTCTTATTAGGTTCCTGTATACAAATTATGTCCGCTTTAATTCTATATGCTTCCGCTTCCATAACATCATGTGCCCTATATCCCCTCCACACATTTATTTGTAGTATTTTCACTCTCATTATTTCCTACCCACCTTTTTGCATTACTGTCGTCCCACAGAGAGATCTGTTGCAACGCTCGTTATGCTTTCTACCCTTTTCCTTGTTCTCCTCGGTGGCTTGCCCTTACTCCTAGCTTCATCAAGTAGAAGTCTGAAGTGGAGACATTTCGCTCGGTCCGCCCTATGTCCAGTTTCCTTGCACTTAGTGCAGAAAGACTCTTTACAATCCTGTGCCTTATGCCCCTCCCGTCCACAGTTTAGGCATCTCCTTGCTTGCTTTTCCTTACTACATTCCCTCGTTTTATGTCCGTGGTCACGGCAGTTCAGGCACCTATCTACAGTTACTTTTTCCATTATTATACAGCTTACCCATCCCATTTTGATAGTGCCCTCCTGTATCAGTGCCTTTGCTGCTTGTTTCGGTAGTTCCACTACTGCAGTTTTCTCCTTGTATTTGCCCTCCTTAATTGACTTTATTTGAACGTCCTCCTTCTCTATCCCTACTACGTCCCTTATCCCATTTTTAATGTCCTCTTCGGTCGTCGTCAGTTTAATTCCCGTGATGTATATTATCTGCCCGTATGTTCTAATAGAGACACTAACATCGTTACATTTAGTTACCACTTCCTCCATAAAACTTCTCGCTTTTCCACTTCCTTCTTCTAGTACAAGTTGCACTTCTTCCTCTCCAGTACTCCTTATTTTTTTGATGTTTACCTTGGATCCTCCATTCAATATCTACAGATGTTTTCCTGAAAATACATTCAAGAATTTTCCTGCAGATAGTCCTGTCGAAACCCTCTGAGGCTGCTACCACTATTTTATTTCTATTTTCCGCGCCCCCATGCTATACCTTAGTTGTTTTATTTTGTCATATATTTTATTCACATTACATGGTTCATCCGTGATGTTATGTGGAATCGTATAAACATATTTCGTATCCTCCGCTGTAGTGGTGTAAGCCATATACTTCATTTCATCCCTTCCTGGTTCAACTAGATCCCACGCGTCCAGATACCTATCCTTAATAATCTTCCCTAGTCCCTTTTCTTTCCCTCCTTGATCAATAATAATTGCCAGATCCATACCATTGTCCGGTTTTACTGGATAATCAATAACCTCTTTAGTGCGAGAGTATACTTCTTCCGGCCAGTCATAATTTAATAGCCTATCCACGTCATCGAATGATTTATTGTTCTCTATTTCCTCTTCTAGGTCAATTTCACCGCAATTCACTTGGATTCCAATTTCCCTGGTAGTACCTTGCCCCGTATTCATTTGAGTTGCAATTGAGTTCCCAACCGTTTTCGTGGGTAGTTCCTTATTCCCCCCGTGCTCTTTCCACGGATTGATATCCTCCGCCAACCTCTTTATGTTATATCTCAGGTCCGTGATGATATCCTTTATTTCTCCTTTCGTGTTTGCGCTCCTTCCTACTGCGTCACCTAGCTTTGTAGATCATTTATTTACCTTTTCCATCATTGTGTGAATCCTCAGCTCTTCTTCCCTCATTTCTCGTTTTGACCTTGTGCCCTCTCTTGGTGTTGTCTCTTCACTTGTCCTTTTCCTTTTTGCAATTTGCCTCTCCTCTTTTCCGGTAGGGGTTCTTTCCTCATTCTTTGTCAGCTCGTATATCTCACTAGAACCCAATTCTTCATCTTCCCATTTCCTAGATGTTGATGATCCCCTTTGTCTTTGTTTTCCTCTAGGGGTGTAGTATTTTTCCCCTCTCTCTAGTTCACTGCCTGATCCTTTAGGCGGTGTTCTACGGAGTGCTCCTTTCCTGATGGTCATCCACTTCTCCATATCTTCCTTTGATTCTCCTAATCCTTTTTGTTTTTGTTTATTTTCAGAACTCATTATTGTCCGGCGCGGCGTTTCGCCCGTACCGCGCTAAGTCCTAGAATCCCCTCCGGGCGGCCTGTTCCTTCGGGTATCGCTCGCGACTCACTATACCCCCTGAGCCATGCATCATATCGGCGCGATGGTGCTACACCTTAGAATTGGGAGGATTTTTTTCCCAGGTTTACTCCTTCGGGTTATTTTTTTTCAGGGTTTTCCTTCCCTTAGCCAATAGGTTCCCGTTATGGCGCCGGAAACTCGCCTTTCACCCTTCTCCGTTGGCTACGTGACGCACTTCAGATGCGCGCCACGCATTACCAGGGTCCACCACTAGGAGGTGGAGAAAGGATTTGCCGGCTATCAAGGCTATCTCAACAGTCCTTTTCAGGACTATTTCAACAGCCTTTTTAAGACTATAGGCCGCATATGGGCGCCGTTTGGGCGTTAATCAAAGTTTTAATGCTTCCCGGACATTGGCAATCCGGAACACCTCTGAGACCTAGGTACCAGCCATTCGGACCCCACTTATACAGGGCTTTTCACGGTAACCGTCCATTAGAAGTATCTCAATAATGAAAAGACCTAAAAATCTGAAATTTTGGATGTAGTATTTTTTGGATAATTTGAATTGATCTAAAATATTTTCATTTTGATTACACTTCCGGTTATACCGGAAGTTGACACCAACTTCGTTATTTTATATGTAAAGTGCCATTTTTAACTTCATTTTTGAATTCTATGGCCTTTTTTAACTAGACTTTGATAATAACACCATATGCCAAAAAATGCACCATTTTTAAGTTATTTGGTTTTTTTTCGAAATTCTTCGCATTATCGATACCAAATTTCAAACTTCTGGGTGCATTATTAACAGAGATATCCTAGAAAATACGTTTGACCATTTTTCCAAAAAAATTCCTAAATTTTCAGATTCGTAACTCTTCAGGAACTCCGAAAAATTCTAATGCACGGCTACCGTGGAAAACCCTGTATATACATTAAAAATTTGTTTACTATATCGTAAATTTTTGCTACAAAAATTACTAAATTTCTATTATAGTAGAAATATTTGAATCAACATCACTTAATTTTCTTTTTTTAGCAAGCCTAGGTAATGTTTCGGGTGCTAAAGGAAAAGCAACATTATTCAGGCCGTTTTTAAAGCTACTATTAAAACTTATATCAGAAATATGATCTTCACAGAGTGTCATTTCATTTGGATGAATGGTACAAAAACCTATAATATTAAACCATTTTTTTCTTTCGCTCAATATCTACAGGGAATTAAAAAAATGCTTTTGATAAATTATCTTCATTATATTGTAATATCTTACAAGTACCAAAATTAATAATCAATTATTCACAAACAATTTACATGGCCAACTTGTAAAAACGGATTATTTAAGAATAAGGCAGAAAAGTAAGTATTAAGTAAAATTTTTAATATCATCAAACCTATTAGGTTTAGTTATAGGGAAGTAAACATTAACTTCCCCTAATTTTTTACCGCTGATTTTAATAAAATAGAAAAAAATGGGTGGTTCCATTTAAAAAATTTGATATTTTTGAAGTTCAACTTTTCACATTTTTTATGCACACCCTGTATACAAATAGAAGATTTTCAACACAAGTTCAAATACCTTTGATCTTTCTATTAGCCACCCTACAAAAACCGTTTTCATATCTTTAAAGGAATCCCCGAAAATAATAATTTCCGGATCGGTCAAATTTAAAAAAAAAATTAATAACTCAAAAAGTATGCATTTCTGAGAAAGTGGTTTAGACAAAAGTACCCAAAAATTTTACGTAGATTTAGAAAATGTATTAATATACAGGGTGATCCATTAAAAAAAAACAAAGTTGTCAACTAACATTGGTAGACAAATTTTCAAATTTTAATCGTCGTGACACACACTGTATACAGGGTGTGTTTATAAATTCTTTCGAATAATCTCGAGAGCCGTTCCAAAACCGCCCCAAAAACGCTCAAAGACCGCTTCAAACCCCTTCCGAAAACCATTGTACACTGTCCCAAAAACGTCTCTAAAATCGTTCTAAATCAACTCTAATTACGCTTTAAGAACCGCTTCAAAACTTGTTTAAAACGTTCTGCAACCGCCACAAAGAACTGTTCAAAAACTGTTCCTAAAAAGATTCCAAAAAAACTTGAATAATGCTATAAAAACAATTCCAAAAACTGCTCCTTGATCTTTCCAAAATCGCTCTAAAATAGCCTCAAAACCCGCTTTAAAACCTCTCTAAAACACCCCTAAATTGCTCTAAAACAACTCTAATTCCAAGTTTAAATCACCCCAAAAACCGCTGTAAAACTACTGCCAAAAACCTCCCTAAAATCGCTCTAAAACCGCTTCAAATCCCTTAGAAATGCTACCCAATATTACCCTATCCTATACCCTACAAATTACCCTACCCTACGATTTACCTTACAATTTATAAACACCTTTGGAATTTACCTTATACTGCCCTACCCTGTTCTGTAACCTACCCTTCTCACCTTACACAACCCTTCTTTTTCTCTTTTTTTTTTGTTATCAGGAGCTGATGTTGCAGGGCGTAGAGCAGGATAATGTGTTTAAAGAAAATGTAATTAATAATTACAATTATTCAAATTTTTTTGCAATTGTAATTGCAGTCAGGTACAATTTTAAAAAGGCTTCCTGACCTCTCTCAAACTGATGTAAATATATTTTGAAGCATTTTAAGGAATGTTTTTAAAGCGATTTCTGAAGAACGAATTAAAACAGTTTTGGGTGGTCTTAAAGCGGATTTAATTTAAATATCTGATCTAAACCGCACCAAAAAAATTACTATAAAACTGCTCCCTTTTAAACATTTCCAAAAACGCTGTAAAACCGCTTCAAAACCGGTACAAAAAAACTTTAAAACCGCCCCATAAACCTCCACTAAATCGCTCCAAAGTTACTCTAAAAACAACTCAAATTTCCACAAACAAAACTGCTCTAAAACAACTCTAATAACGATTCAAAACCGCCATATAAACCGCTGTAAAACTCCCCGCAGAAACCTCTCTAAAAATCATTATAAAACCACTCTAATTAAGCTTAAAAAACCGCTCAAACCACTTTAAAACAACTCTAATTTCCACTCCAAAAACTCGATAAAACCGCTCTAAAACAGCTTTAATTTCGATTAAAATTTGGCCTAAAGTCTCTTTAAAACTGCTTAAAACCGCCCTCTGAACACCGCCAAAAACCCGCACCAAATCCTCTACAAAGCCGTTCTAAAAACCACTTTAAAACAGCTCCAAAATCTTTCTAAAACAGCTCTAATTACGTTTCAAAAACCTTTTAAAACTCGCTCCAAAATCCGATCTAAAACCGCCCAAAAAAATACTGCCATTAAACCGCTCCAAAATCACTCTAAAACAACTCTAATTACGCTCTAAAACCGCCCCAAAAACCACCCCAAAACCTTAAACTATCTGTACATTTTGTAAACTTATCTGTACTCTAAGGTCTTTATCCATTTCGAGAGCAAACTCGCGAATTTTTACTCTCTAAGAATGTCCAAAATGCTTGTTAAAATTTTTATAAAAATTAGTAGGTACTCTCAGAACCGTGTCCACTAGGTTTGTGTTTCTAAACAACCTCTTAATTTTCAATTTTCTAATATTTAGAAACATTTAGAACTGTGTTAAACCATTTAGAACTATCTTAAATTAATTTATAAGCTCCACAATAATTTAAAATAGTCTAGAACCATTTAGAACTATCTAGAAGAATTTAGAACGCTCCAGAATCATTTAGAACAGTCTAGAATAATTTAAAAAAACTCCAGAAATTGGAAACGGTTCTTTATTGGAAAATATTTTAATAATCAGGTTATTTTAATTTAGATCTTTCATCATCCTCATACACCTCGTAATCATCATCATCTTCCTTATCCTCGTAAGTATAACAACTGGATTGAGCTTAATCATCATCATTATCATCATCACAGTTATTATCATCGTACCCACCGGCTTGAACTTGTCTACCGAATTTACGATTCAAAGCTAAAAAAATAACAACAAATACAAAAAGTGCCCCCCGAATTCAATTCACTTACAAGACACTTCAAGTCTTTCTTACTTACAATTGTAATTTAACTTCCACGAAGGTCTGAATGTTCGAAATTGATCTTCATAGTAGAGGAAATTTTCGAAATATCTCCACAAATAGCCTCCTTCGGGAGTCACTTGGACGTTTCGTAGAAGTCGAAAATGGCCCTCTGGATGAATCGAAAGATGATTTATAGTCGAGTAATTGATTAAAAAGTACTTTTACAATCATCTCATATTCCTTCGGTGGAGACATCGGGGTGTTTGGTAACGCAGTTGGCAGTTTTCAAAATGCATTTTTGTTGATTTTGTTGCATTAGTTGCATGTTTGGAAGTCTCCGGATCGTTTGGTAGAAGTAACAGAAGGGTTTTATGTTCCTTTTAAATTAAGAGGAAATTAAAAATTGTTTTTTTTTTTTGATAATTTTCGCTGCGATTTACCTGTGACAAGTGATACCTGTCGTATTTTATAGATACGTTGAAAGAATGCTCGGCCAATTCGATGTTACTTTATGGAAGTTTTGATTTCGGTCTTTTCGGTCTTTTTCCGTTGTCTCGTTTTCTTTTTCGGCATTTTCAGAAGTTTTTCTTCCCTAAATTTCCTATTTACTCTTCGATTATTCCGAACCTAACCTCAAATGTCACTCGTCTACTGTCATTACTGTCAAATTTGTAAGAAGCTTCAGTGGACGGTCGTATATTATAAGGTCTGGAAACTTGAATTTGCGTAGTTGCTAAATCGACCGGTAGGCATCAATGTTGTAGAGGATATTTTTTGGATTCAACATTTAGCTTGTTACAGGTTGCCACAATTTGGATGTTTACAGAGCTTATATTGAAGTAAACTATTATAAACATCTTCATTCAACTAGATAACGCCAATAACACAAGTCGAGTTTCCAGACCTTGTAGTATACGATCGTGCTTCTGTTTATTGGCCAATTCTTTGCACCGTTTTCGTTTTTAGTGATTTTTTTTAACATATAAACAGATAATAGTACTAAATAGTACCTATTTTGTCTACGGTGTATGTACATACGACAATTCTCTACTCAATTTCCTCGACCTTTTACCTGTTATATCAATTGAGCCGATTGAGCGTTTGTGATTGGTCATCCTCACATAGGGTAATCCCAGATAAAGAGAGGAATATTTGGCAACGTTGCATTTTCCACAAATTCCACAGCACAGCGCTTTTTTACTTCTTTCTTCACTGGAAGTCTGAATCTAAACTCTCTGTATCTGTTCGAGTGCCTTACTAAATTAAAACGTAGTGAGAAATTAATTCATCGAGATTAGTTACTGTTTCAGTTGTGTTAATTGAATCACCGGAAAAATAGCAAAGGTCTGTATAATTATTACATAATTTATAAGTTTATTTAGGTGTTAAAGAGTTAAAATATCGATAAATATTGTTTTTATTAAATCGTCAATATCGTGGAAATGGCTTTATAAAACACAATTGTCTTTTATATACCGAAATAAATGAATATTTTAATTCACTTTAATTATAATTGGAAGACACTTCTGAACTATCCAAAGACTAAAAGAAGGAATTCAATTTTTTTGAAATATTTTCGTTAGTAAATTATCTCATAAAAAATGGCGACTCGGTAGGTAATTAAAAAAAACAAGAAAACAAATATCGAGTCACGTACAGTTTTGCTTATAATGCAAACTAAACAGGAAGATGTATTTTTGCTTAATAAACTATTTCTTTATTTTCAACAATAAGTTGTATAGATTATTTTGTTTATTCAAGTTGATTGTTAAATATTCGGTGAAGCACCGGTAGACATATTGCTTTTTATATTAGAAAATATTATTTTTATTTTATTTTCCCAATACTTTTTCGCCACAGCCACGTTTATGGTACGGTAAAATCATTTTGTAGCCGGTCTAGCATGCGGTCTACCGTAATTTTTGCGGTCTACCCATACATATTTCGTCGTCCATGTAAATTTAAATACTTTGATAGGTGTCATATTTTGCAAAATTGATGTACTGGTTGTGAAACATGTCTCACAAAACTGCAAATATTAAATTTGTCCATTTAATTTTTTTTTTATATCCAAACAGATTTCTGTATAGTAAACATCGAAAGAAAAACTCAACCTCTATAATTCCGATTCCTCCGCAATTCTTAATTAATTGAATTACTTTCTTGCTCTTCCAAACATAAATTATTATATACTCGTTATACAGGGTGTCCCAATGAAAAATAGCCCCTTTAAATACAAAATACAAAAATGAATGAGCTATAGTCGATTTCCAAAATAGTAGGCACTAAATTCTCGGAAATAATATCGCTTTAAAACGAAAACATTGTTGTCAGGTTGTGATTCTTAATATTTAAGTATCTTCTATTTAAATGATTTACAAGCTGCTAAATAGCCATAGAATAACGGACAACGTGTTTTATTCATTAAAGTATCGTTTTGCTAATTAAATGTATTCAATAAATACAATGTTTATTAAAAGAAATGCAGAAATTAAATAATGTTATGCGTCTCAAACTTATAAATGGCAACCTTGCGTTCATCGAGCTTTTTCTTAGGCGGAGAAAAGAACAACATATTAAAGTTGCCGAAAGGTAGAGGGAGATGTACATATTAGCCTAATCGTTGACATAGGTCAGGTTAAAATTCATGAGCGTAACATTAAAATGCAGGTAATTAATATACACTTTTTTAACTGCATTCAATTCGATATTTTGTAATTTATAGTTAGATTTCAATTTTTGATTATAGTTCATCATCCGAAGAGTTTTCCTCAGAAGATAATGATTATTAATATAATAATATTTGTATATAAATATAATAACATTTATTACATAATCCTTGCTCTGCTAATTATTAGTCTCTTGCTGATTTTCACGTCGAACAACCTTGTAGCCCACGATATTTTTCGTACGCCACTGGGAGAGACCCATTATCGCAAATTCTTCACAATCATTTCTGAGAATTTAGTGCCTACTAATTTGGCAATAGACTATAATAATTTTTAAACGACTAATCGTAAAGCTTGCGGTTTTCGAAGATATATTTTAATTTGCTATAACTTTTTGTTACAGTAACACAAAAATTTCGTATCGCCTGTACAGGGTGTTTCATAAAAATCTCCTCTTTTAAATTCACATTAACCAAATTTTATGAAATAGAACATTTTCTTTTGTAGAATAACATGTACAAATAATACATTTTTGAAAAGTAGAAGAGTATATCATTCACAATACCTCTATATATACGGGGTGTTCCATTTAAAAAAAAAATAGTAACTGTGAATTTAAAAGAGATGATTTTTATTCAACACCCTGTATTGGTAATGCATAATTTCTGTATCACTGTAACAAAAATCATTTTTGAGAAAACTTTTCATTGGGACACCCTGTACTTGTAAAATCGTTTCGTTTATTTAATGAAGATACCTATACTTGGCGCGTTTGGAAGACGGAGTAATAAAAATGTCAGGCGGTTCCAAAATATCCCTACCCCAGTACGGCAAAATCCTGTACAAAGATCGATTCGATCGATCGAAATTTCGCACATCGCCTACAATTACTCAAAACCATTCACAGAGTATCAACTTTTAGGCCGGCCAATGGGGAGTGAGTGAAATCGGTGACTCGTTTACACCCCGGGTGGACTTCGGCTGATTAATGTGTTTATTACTCCGTCTTCCAAACGCAGCAAGTATAGGTATATTTAAGTTTAAGTAAATACTGGTATAGTCCTTTTCAAGATATAGTAGAAAATGACTTTATAAGCTGATGAGTTTACGACTACCCGGTGCTGTTTAGGGTACACGCCGCACTCGCCGGTCGAATCACGCAGAACTGTATTTTAAGTTTGGTATGTTCGCTGCGGCTAAGCGGCGATACAAAATACTCATTAAATAACATTTCTTAAGTTCTTACCTGGAAATGTAAATACTGTTTACTACCCGACCCGACTGAAGTGCTTCAACGTTCCATTGTATTGGTATTAGGAAAGTCAATACTTTATTGCTATAATCCCTAAGCTCTCACGCCTCTTTTCTACTATATCTTGAAAAGGACTATACTTCCCCAATTTTGTGTAAATTGAATTACCTACATGCTATTCTATAAATAATAACAATAACATTTTTTTTCTCTAGCTTAATGTAGGATCAATTTTCAAAATCTTGCTGTTGTATTTTGTAATAAATACTTTGTATAAAAGAAAATTGGGTAGACCGCTCCCTCATTTTTTTACTCTTATTACATCTATTCTTAATATTTTATAGAACTTTTATTATGCCTGTTCAGATAAGCTTCGGAATACTTACTGGTAAGTAGGCAACTCATTTTACATTTCTTTGATTCAAATTGACTCTCCATTACAGTCAGCGACAGCAGTTATGCGGGTAAAGGCAATGATTCATCAAGTCCTAAATTAAAAGAAGAAATATTAAAGGAGTTTCCATCTGCCGAAATAAGCGCAATAAAAATCGTACCAGACGATTTGCAGGAAATTAAATCGACTCTAACAGAATGGTTCGACTTGAAAATCAACGTAATATTCATAACAGGCAATTTACCAGACATGATCTTCGCTATGATCACCAGTAGCTTGAAGATCATTCCAATGGCGATGATCTCCAGACCCTTGAGCGGTATTAGAGACAACACGATGATAGTAAATCTGCCGGGAAGCCCCGAAATGGTTTCGGAATGCTTCGGTATCATCAAGGAAGCCTTACCCCTCGCTTTGGAGCTCCTAACAGAAGAAAAAAAATCTGTGGTTTCCGGTCACGGAGCCATTCTGAGCGACTCAGGAGCATCCGTTGTCCCAACCACCAGCCTTAGTAAGGTAATTTATAAAATTAACAGCTTCGACATCAGCGAAGGTAATATTACTGAATTCGAAGACTCAATTTGTCTTTATTTTCGTAGGTGAAACTGGCTCCATTAAGAAAATACTACTACCCTATTATCGATGTTGAATTTGCTTCTGATTGTATTAAGGATGTTTGTTCTGATAAAGAGGAAACCACAGAAACGGTGCCTTTGAAGAGATCGCTGAATCGAATTTTAGTAGAAGATTTTCGTGCTGAAGAATCGATTCCTTCATTTGCAACTTCGATTATAGATGGTTACGCAGTTAAATCGAGCAATGGCAAAGGAATACGTGTTGTGAAGAATGTCGCAACTGCAGAAAATAAGGTATGTAGATACATTTAAGAGATTTCTAAAGAATGAGCTCATTAGAATTGTAATAAATTAAGTTTGTAATTTTGCAGCCAATCGATAAAGTTCTGCAGTCAGGCGAAGCGATAAGAATATCGAGATCCAATTCCTGCGGGAGCAGACACAGTGGTACCATTGGAAGATACATCAGTAGTTGAATATTCGATGGATGGTTCTGAAGTAATTAAGGTGAAAATCAAAACAACACCCGACTACTATGAAAACATAAGGTAAGGGAAAATTTTTAAATACAATTGTGGTATATCTAGTAATTTTTTTAGAGAAATCGGAAGCGACGTATTGAAGAATTCTTTGGTTTTAAAAAAAGACGAACGTATCAAACATTTCTCTCTTGGAGTTTTAGCCATGTTAGGAAAAACAAATATTTTGGTTTATAAGTATGTTGAAATATTCAGTTTCCTAAAAGTTCCCTCCTTTACTTTAATACATTTTTTTCTAGACGCCCTTCTATAGGAATCATATCAATTGGCAATTATATTTGTGAACCTAAAGAAGAACTAGCCCCTGGCAAAATCAGAGATGCAAATAGATTCACCTTAATTAATTTGCTTAAAAATTTCCATTATGAAGCAAACGATTGTGGTATAGCTAAAGACAAGTAATAATTAATTCTGATGTATTTGATCCTTTTTTTAATACAATAATTTTTAGTCCTGATGCAATAAAGCATGCTCTTGAACAAAGTTTTACTTGTAACGATGTTATTATAACGAACAGTTTAATGGGAGAATTGGACATGTTGAAACGGGTCCTCGTCGAAGATTTTCAAGCTACTATACATTTTTGCAGGATAAAGATGAAACCCGGGTAAGTCAAAGTTTCGTAACTTTAAAGATTTCAATGATTAAATGATTATCATTGTATTATAGAAAATACACGACCTTTGCGACACTTAGACATTTTCCTGTGCAATAACTTGTGTATTATTCGTTATTCCTGCTCTACTGGAAAAATCTCTCAACGAACGTTTTGTACTTATTTCTATATCACGAAATGCATTTGAGGTAAGTAAACATTTTGTTAACAGAGGAATAATTATATTCGAAATACGTTTTGTTTGAAATAAGGAAGCTATACAGTGTGTGTCACGATGAGGGCCCATTAGAAGTATCTGGAAAAGTAGTTGTAATTAAAATTTGAATATTTGTGTACAAGTATTAGTCGATGCGCTCTATTCAATGAAAATATTTTCTACTTTTCTTTACTTTTCTTTACTAAAAAAAATCATAAAATTCCAAAACGTTACAGCTTTTACCATTGTATAATAGTTATGTTTATTTTACTTTATTAGTTTTCTCAGTATACAGGGTATTACCTGTTATTAGGTTGTATTTATTTGTTAGTGCCCCTATAAATTACTGCTTTATTATTTTTTTACTATTTCTTGATAGAAAACAGAGTATAGAATATAATATTACAATAAATTTCATTTTTTAGCGTTCGTTACCACATAATAATGATGATTGTCCAGAGTATCGACTAGTTAAAGTAAATAGGACTTTGACTGGAATGACAACTGCAGAGGAAGTACCAGGCGTATTAAGTAATTTAGATAAAGCAAACGGTTTACTTATAGTTGAGCCAAAGAAAGATTACTTCAGTAAAGATTCAAATGGAGACTATCGCAATCTTTACAGTGTAATATTATTTCATGAGAATTATTATCAGTGAAATGGGCTGTATTATTAAATCCAATCTCTGTTTTTTTTCTAATTTCACTTTAAAATAATACCAATACGTTCTTTTGATCAGTTAACAGTTCTTTTAATTTTTTCAGTTTCAGTTTTTGTAATAAAATATTTAATTAGTATTTTTGCTTTATTTAACCCTTATTGAAAGATTGTTTGTTGTGTTCTGTAAATACGAGCCCAGTCGCATATGAATTGGATCAAAACAAATATTCTACACAATATAATTTTCCCGTGTAAACAGTTATTTTATATTAATATCAAATAGTTAGATAGTATCCGATCAATTAGTAGTAGCAAAATTACTATTAACTTAACAAAAAAAATTGTGTAGAATATTTGTTTTGGTGAATATTATATTTTTTACGAGAGTATTATGTTGACTAAGTTCATATAAAAGTTGATCCACAAACGCTTCATTACCGATCTACCGAAATTTCAAATTTTATTTTGATATTTTTTGAGCTCCTGCAGTTTTGGAGATATTATCCAATTGTTCTTCACAAATCTCTTTTAAACGTCTTTTAAACTGCTTCAGAATTGCTCTTCTAAAACCGGTTCTAAATCGCTCTAAAATTGTTTTATAACCGCTCTAATTGCTTGCTCTTCTAAGCCCTCCAAAGATTTTGTAGAAGATCCTTTGTAACATTTGATCCTATAAACATCCCAATTTTGTAAGATTCTCCCTTGCTTGGATTAACAATCCTTTTACAATTTAATCATACTATTTCAATTTTTACACAATATGACATCCGTCATATCGTGCTTGTGATAGTGCTTGGAAGTTCTAAAATAGTAATATTTTAATTAATAATTACACCTTTACAACAGACATTTCTCGACCATTAAAAACAGAAAATTGCTTACATTTGCTAATATCAGCATTTCCTGTGCATTCGGAAACTGAACGTACTGGAGAATCAAATTTGCCAACGAATCCACAATGATTTTAAATACTCCATGGGCAGTGCTTCTTGCGAGTCCAAATCTATCTCCTGCAGCTAAGAAACACTCCGGTTTTCCGATGGTCCATAGAGAAAATAATTTTTTTTATCAAAGTCAATATTGACCCTATTGTGAGCAATATTGTTTCCCAGCATGTTGCGTAGGTTCTGAAATTTTATTAAAAATCAACAGATTTAATATTTTGTGATTGAGAAACATACCTGAAAGGCTCCTCTACTCATTCGAAAATGTTCTTTGAAAAGATCATCTGAGAATTTTGGGACGGTCACTTTAAGGAAATCATCACTCATAGGTTTCCTTACTCGTGGATGTCCTTCTAGATTATCATTTCCAATTGGTTCATCGAGACCCAATATCAATGCATTTAGAACATCCATATTATCGTCATCGTTATTACCATCGTGCGCCAAGGCTATAATATTTGCAAGAATATTATTTTCACCTTCAGCCATTATTAATATCTCAATTATAGCAAGATAAGGATTAAACAGTATAATAACAAAACATTTATTTCACCTTCAACCTTTGATAGATGAGGAAATAGAGGAGGCGGATGAGGAAGAAGGTACTTTGGAGATTTAAAATGGTAGAAAATGATTTAGGTTTGGGAATAGGAGCTTTGGAAATGGTTTTTTTTGTCATTTTGTTGAAAATTGTCTATTAGTTTTTTCTAGGGTATTGTGGGTCTATTAGGAAACTTTCGGTTGAATAAATCTATTCCAAATCTATTCTAAACAGTTCTTAATCTTTCTGGGGCATTATAAATTGTTCTAGACGGTTCTAAATCATTCTTTACAGTTCTAAATGATTCTAAAGAGTTCTTAATGATTCTGGCGCGAGTAAAAAAGTTCATTACTTATAAAAATTGTTTTTAAAAAATTTAATTCTTCACTAAAGACTATAAAAGTTTCAATGTACTATTTTTATGATAATTATTTTAACTATTTGAAATCCATTCATAACCATTTCTACCTCGAAAAAATACAATCTAAGAACTGATATGAACTGAACAAAAGTGTTCTTACAAAGTTAACAAGAATTTGGTCCAGGACAATTTAGAGTGCTTCTGGATGCATTAAAACTAGTTCAGAACAATTTAGAGTACTTCAGGATCAGAACTATTATTGCATTAGAACTATTAAAAACTTAAATTTAATCGAAATCCAAGCATTAATATTTAGAAAAACAAATGTCGCTACAAGTTTAAAAAAATCTATTTGAACTCGAGTGGATGAATAAATATTATTTTGATAATATTCGTTAACTCCCTAGAAGACATTGGCGGCAATGAATAAATATTATTTTAATAAGGTTTATGTGAAATTTCTATTTTTTAATAAGGATGTTAAGAAAATCTTTAATTGATCACCAAACGAAAATATAGTTCGATTATATAATAAATGTTCGATATACACTGTTAGAAATTTAATTTCGCATAATAGGGAAATCATTTAAAACTACATTTAATAGTTCTTTTTTGGGGATATTTCATAAAAACATGTGAATCGGTAGGTACAGTTTTGAAAGAGCAACAAATTTTATTGAAATAAGGGAAAAAATAATTCAATTTTCTGCTAAAATTACACCTCAGTTCAGTAATATGGGATGACATCTGTATGACAGGTTTGGCTATTGTTTAGCAGAAAGCGGTGGACTATTTTTTAGAGTTCTTTTATTTTCTGTTTTAAAATCTTTAAGTTTATTTTTGTTTGGAGTTTCCTTTTTATTATTTTTTTAGAATTTACTTTCTTTTTCAAGCATTGTGGCAAAAAGATATATCTACATAATTCTATTTTATTATTAGTGATATTTTTTCAATAAATTATCGTTTAAAAATTCTCATTTCTTTTTAATCGACTCGACGTTCACCCATCCGAACCCGTTTTGATACTGTCGAAGTGTCGAAACCGTGGAAATTATTTGATTTTTAATCTAACCAAACCAAATCCCGGTGTAAAGTCCAGTAGAACAATTAAATTTATTAGAATTGATCGCGACGTTCTATTTAAATGTATACTGGTAGATTGGATTTTAGCCGGCTAAGAATTTAACATTGATTTCCCTATTATGCGCGAATAATTTTCCAACAGTGTATATGGGAACCCTGTCGTTGAATACACTAATAAAACACAAAGAGGATATTTCTTTGCACTCTAAAAAGCATTTTTTCATTTCACAATAAAAAATTATTCTGTCCATCTCTTGTTTGTATCGGTGTTGAGTACACGGAATTTTTAAGATAAAAAAAATATAAAAATTGCATTAGGATAATGCCTAACATCCATTTGAAAATTTATTGGATCTATTGTTTTCTTTCAGTATTTTTAGTAAAGAGTTACAAATAATAACAGTTTGTCCAGAATTTTTGTTTATCCAAAAATTTCTCTCTATACCTATCATCTCAATCTAAAAATTAATATTTCTCAAAAAACGTTAATTTTATCGACTTCAGACAAAATTACTTTTTTGTTAGTTATTCGATTAAATAATGTATTTAAGACATTTTTTTGCTTTATACAGATTGTACCCATAAATGTTAATCGAATTGTTAATCTCTGTGACAGAAGAAGGGATGTATCGGGACTGAAACAGATTCCGATAAGCTTCCAGCTACCCAATTTTACAAGTCAGATAAGTATTCCGAAACCCACCCATAATCAAATTACCTATACACCCCAAAAAAGAACCCAATGACCACCCACACGGGATTCAACTCCCACATTTCGACAAAATGCCCCCCAAAAAAACCATTCCCAAACCCCCTATTCCCAAAACAAAATCATTTTCCTCCATTGTTCAATCTTCCCCTACCACCCGACAATGGATACAAACCAACTCAAGTTACCCCCACGAAACTACCCCCTCACCCTCCAAAATACCCTCTTCCTCCTCCGCCTCTTTTATTTCCTCTTCTACCTCCCTAATTACCTCACCCCCTCTTATATTTTCACCTATTTCACAAGCACCTACCCCAACCCCCACCCCTCAACAACTACCCCTCACCTCCATAATAATCCGAAATTTACCTCTAAAATACCGCTCCCAAAAGGAACTTTTCCTACTTCTTAACACCAACGAACTCCTTTTAAATGAAATCACCTACCTCAAAGCCAACTTTAATCAAACCGGTGATAATAACATCATCCTCATCCCCCTATCCAGCCCCTCCCCTAGCGGAAACGCTACCATCAAACCCCCCACTAAACCCACCTTTTCCTTCGTCGTAAAGAACATCGACTCCGACGTTACCGACGAAGAATACCAATCAGTTCCTGAAAGACCAGGAAATCCCTTTTAAAAAATCTCCAGAGAATTATCTCCAAAGCAACCAACCTCCCTACCAGACTCGTAAGGGTTATAACTGAGTCGGAGACTCACTTTACTCGAGCGGTTACCCAAAGTATAGTTCTTCATGTCCAAATCCGCCCAGTCGAACCCTCCAACACCAACCCTACCCCCCCTATCCCGAAATTCTGTACCCAGTGTTTGCAAAACGGTCATTCCGCTAGCGAATGCTCCAATAAAATCACTTGCCCTACCTATGGTGAAAACCACAAAAAAACCTCCTGCCCCAAAATCCAAACCCCCAAATGCCCCAATTGCCAGGGCGACCACCCCGCCTATTCTACCAAATGTCCCGAAAGACAAAAAGTCCCAAAAATCCCCGAACAAGTCGCCCCAGTTCGCCCCCCCAAACCCGTTTCCCCCTATGAACTCACCACCGAGGTAAAACTTACCATTCAAATAACCACCAACCTCCTCATGAATGTCCTCCCCAATAACCGCGAGCTGATTATTAAAACAATCGGCTCGATCATCCCGATCCTTTTCGGCCACTCCTGTATAATAACAGGTAGTGGCAATTTAGCCTACTACTACAATTTAGCCCCTATCCTGTAATGGAAAGTACAATTGGAACTGTCAATTGCGCGGGCCTCACCCGCAAAAGAGCACTCCTAAAATCCCTCCTAACCCAACATCAACCCTCTTTCCTATCCCTAATCGACACCCTCACTC